CACAGTTGCACGTGGCTTTGGGTTGCCCTGACAAATTTAATGAATAAATATTAAATAACAATAAATGCAGCTGCCCCCAGGAGAAGCAAATCCATCACCATATGCCTAGACTCCTTTGGGCTGTTGGAAGCCTTAGGTACATCCAAGTTAGACCAAGGATTGACATCTGGAATGGCACAGATCCCATCCTTAATTTAGAAGATTAGGGTTGCCAAGATGCACTGAGCATGCATGGAGCGTGCAGGTCCCTGGGTGTGGAAATGAGGCTGTACTGACTTTCTATGAGAGATCATCAACTTTTAAGTTTGAGGTGCATGCCTTTGAGGAAAACATCTACAGTGGTACCTAGGGTTACATACGCTTCAGGTTACAGACTCCGCTAACCCAGAAATAGTACTTCGGGTTAAGAACTTTGCTTCAGAATGCGAACAGAAATCGGGCTCCGGCAGGGCAGCGGCAGCAGAGGCCCCATTAGCTAAAGTGCTGCTTCAGGTTAAGAACAGTTTCAGGTTAAGAACGGACCTCCAGAACGAATTAAGTATTTAACCCAAGGTACCACTGTATTTATAAAAAGATGATCAGCTGTTCAGTAAAGCACACATTATGGAGTACAGCATACGTTGAGAAACACGAAGTGTAGAAGGACAGTTTAGGCCTCCACAGATTAAACAAACAAACACACAAAATACAGCTCAGTAAAGGCAACTTATTGTTCTCTCTATTGAGGGTTAGGAAAAGAGGAATCGGACACGTGGGGCTGCAGTGTTCTCTGAAGACAGAGCACCCCCAGCACCTCACATTTCCCCCAGCACTTGTCAGTCAGTACAACAATTAGGGAGGTCTGTATTCATCACAGATCATGTTTCACTGATTGGAAGGAGGACACAGTTCTCATTATGAAGTCTCACAAACTGGATTCAAAGACACCGCAAAAAGCTTCACACTTATCCTAGCAAGTTTTTTCTCTTCTTTAGGGAGCTCCCTTACACACTGTTGGAAAACCACAGTTCACTCTTAAATCTTTCTACAAATCGTAACTATATTGCTGGTGAAACCCTTTCCCTATAAGCACATTGTTGATGAAACTCTCTCCCTTATTTAAAATGGCTGTAAATAACACTGCATTCTAATTTTTCAAACTGCAAAGCACACACTGATCTGGTATGCTCCAATGATACTGGAAGCCGAATGCAAATATCCCTAGCTGTGGATTTCATACTACAAGTAATTTTAACCAAGAGAGTTTCAAAGATACTGCAATCCTATCCATGTATATTCAAACACAAGACCCTATGAGTCCAATAGATACTACTTCCAAGTGTGTATGTATAGGACTGCAGATTTAAATAAGACATTATTATTATTTTAAAAGGATGTGCTATAAGCTAATATTTCCTGGATTTTGCTACTTACCTGTAACTGCAACAAATCCAAAACTTTTTTTTTAAAAAACGGTATTTTGGACCCCAAAAGCAAAGCAAGGTTTATTAACTGTCAAGTGAAGAATATGATCGAATTATTGGGGTGTTAATACAGGTCATATCGAGGGAAATCAGTGGTTTCTTATCAAAACAGATGTTACAACATCCACTTTATTGTTATTACTGGTGGGAAAGGAGCCATTCCAGGGGGGGAATCTAGACCTGTCCAGCACATCAAAAAACAAACCACCCTCTTCTGCCCATGGCAAAGAGATTCTCCAACTACAAGCCTTTCCCAAATCCCATCTGCAAGCTAGAGACAGAGAAGGAAACTATTGTTTCACTAGTGAGTCAGTACCGCAGCTCAAGGGGGGGGGGGGTGGAATGCGAAGAAGGCTTTTGTTTGTTTGCTTGCATGAACTCCCTGCCCAAGTCCTCCGAGTGCGCCACTGTGTCGCAAGCGCAAGCTCCATTAGGGAGCAAAGAGCGTGAAACAGCTTGAGGACTGAACCCAAATCCTATTAGAGGGCCGGGAAGGGCCAAGCAGACGGGCAGCCGAACAGCGCCTCGTCGGCTTCCTGTTTGCGAGTCAGGTGCCTCCCTTTGTGCTTTGCTCTGACTCGTCTGTCTCTCGGCTTTCTCCCTGCCAGTGTGTGTGTGTGTGTGTGTGTGTGTGTGCGCGCGCGTCCGCAGACCGGCTCGCGCTCCAGGTCGGGCGGGAGGAAGGCGGCGGCGGCGGCGGCGGCGGCAGCGTGGGGGGGGGCGGCGGTTATTCCTGTGTGGTGAGGCTGAGCGCTTTATCTGCCTATCTCAACCCCCACCTCCTCCTCCCGGCTGCACTGGAGAAATGCCCCGCTGTCTCCAACAAGGGGCGTTCCCTCTCCGGCTGCCTTTTCCCTGGAAAAGCAGGGAGGCGGCAGCAGCAGCAGCTTCCTTCTCCAATCCCCCCTCCACCCTCGGAGGGAGGGGGGAGGGGGAGTGGTGGTTTCTCCACGCCTGAGGAGGAAGGCGGCACGCCGCGCAGCAGCGCTCGCTTCCAGGAGGGCGCACTTTGGGCTGCGTTTAAGCTCTTCCCCGCCCCCCACGGCTGAGCGCTCGATAGAGCAGACAAAGCGCCGCGGCAGGCGGGGGGGGGGGGAGGAGAAGGTGTAGCGGACTCCGCCTGCGGGTCGCGGCTGAGCCGGCCTTTCGCGCGCCGGTGGGAGGGGCCGAGGCGGCCCCGGTGAACTGAGGAGGCGCGCGCACACACACACGGACGCCGGGGGTGGGGTGGGGAAGAAGAGTCCCACATCAATAAATGGTCCTTCTCTCGACAGGGGAGGAGCCGGCGGCGGCGGTCTCCCGCAAAGTCCGCGCCCGTTCCTTTCTCTCCCTCCCTCCGCCAGCCTCCGCCTCCTGCGCCGCACCGCTCGCCCCAGCTCCTCCTGGGCTGCCACTGCGGCTGACCCCGCCGTCAGTCCGCGCCCTCCAGGCCTCCCACCCAACTTCCAGCCGGGGGAGGGGAGGGCGGCTTTGTCAGGCAGACGCCAGCTGGTGGGGTGGCTTGCCGAAAAGCTGGGCGGCGGGGAGGTTCCGGCTCGCTCCTAGCTTAGGGCGGCCATAAGGGCAGCAGGAAGGCAAAGGGACCTTGCAGCCGCTTCTCTCCAGCTCAACTAGAGCAGCAGACCTTTATTAAAACTGAACCTTGCGAGCGGTTGCCTAAATCTAAGCTCCACGTCTTACTTGGGCAAACATTCGCCGCGCGACCTTGTTCATGTTTACTCGAAAGTAGGCAATCACTTTTTTTTAAGGGGGGAGTCACAACTCAGTCCGCGTGCTTCAATCCGAAACGCGTTTACCTGGGAGTCAGTCCCACTGAGTGCAGTTGGACTTATTTTTGAACACACCTGCGTAAAATCGTTCCTGTTTGAGGCTGGGGGATTAAGAGGGAGCTTCCTTTTAATATACATACTGTGTACATATTTAAAAAGAACACCGTAGTAATTGATTGACTAGGGCGCAGTCGAAAAGCCTTAGAGCCGCAACCCTGGTTTAGAAGAGCTGCTGCAACAGAATAAGCAAACAAATCCGAAAGAGCGACAGCAGCCCAAGTAAAATAATAATAAAAAAGGAATGCCCTCGCCCTGCCCTCCAGCTGCCCCTGAGACCATCTGCCCGGATTTCGGCAAGCAGCTCCCATCGACACAATCACTGCGCCACCAAAGGCAGAATATTTCACAGCTCTCCATAAACTCGATTAGCTTTACTCGGCTACACCTACTGGAAACCAGGCACGCTGGAAGCAGGGACTGACAACAGATCTGTTAAAACAAAAAAACCCTGACCGCTTCTCCGCTCCCTTCACTAAAGCTGTCGGAGGGTAGTCGGGAAGGTAGAATGGGTGTGGGAAAGGGATTTCCTAATCGATTTGATCAGAGCAGCTCACGGCGGACGATCCTTCCCGGACGATTTGCAAGGGGAGGGGCGCTTTTAATAGGGACACGTACTGACTATTTTGTTTTAAGACAAGATCTGTGACCCGGCGAGTTCTTGTTTAATTTCTTTTAACCATCTGGGTGAGTGTGAAACGCCACTTCCTACTAGTAGTTCTTACGCCACCGGCAGGTTAGCTCCCGCCCCTTTGCTGTTCTCTTCGAAGCCTCTTAAAAGGCCAAGGAAACTTTAGAATTACGAAAAGGAAAAGGGAAAAAAAGGCAAGACAGAAATGCAGCCCAGGCGGCCGCTGAGTGGCTGGGGCGAGTTTGGAGAGACTTGATTGGTCCGCTGCACGCCGCGCACACTCACGCGCCGCCGCCAGCCGAGGAGGAACCTGCCCAACTTTTCCTCCCGAGGGCTGTCACTCCCGCTCCGCAAAGCCAGCCCACAAAGCTCCCCCTCCGCTGGATTTAAAGAGGCAGCGAGCATCCTTGCAGACACGCACCCACGCTGGCCAGAGAGATATACACGCGCAGGCACACGCACGTGCTTTCCCCCTGCTCTTCCCGGCGCTACTCCACAACTGCCTACACAACAAGGGGGACCCTCCAAGCGCGTCGGCTCTCCCGTGTGCGTTTTTACGCCGCTCTTCCAATGGCACGTGAAACAGCCAAATGCACAATTCATTTGTTTCATTGTTTTGCGCCGTGATCGATGCAATGATACCTGTGAGCGACTGGGGGAAGTGGGGGGGGTGTGAGAGTGTGTGACGCCGGCAGGTGAAGAATCATTACCTGAGTGATCGATCCAAGTGGCAAGCGAGAGAGAGAGAGAGAGAGACAAGACAAGACAAGAGAGCGAGCGAGTGCGCGCGGCTTAGCCACCCCCACCAATGCAGAGGCTTCGACAACTCCTCTTCAAATAGTCCATTTTGCTTCCTGGATTCCCATATTAGTTATAGGACCAAAGTTTCCTCTCTCCGCCCATTCCCTGGCTTCAGCCAAGCATCCCTCGCTTTCTCTCGCTCTTTCTCTCTCTTCCCCCACCCTCCTCCCCAACCTCCTACATCCGCTCCGGCGAGAAGGGAGAACTCCAAATGAGAAAGCGCCAGCCCACAAAGTGCTCCGCAGCCGCCCTCCAGCCCCCTCTCGCCCGCCCCCTTACCATGATCAGCGTGTGGTTCCTCTGCTCGGCCGTGGCACACTCGGCATCTTGTTGCTGCTTGCTGCTCGGGTGCTGCTGCTGCTGCTTGCTGCCGCCGCCGCCTCCGGTCCCCGATTTCTTGGCCCTTTGCTCCAGGGTCCTCTGGTAGAGGCTCACCGTGTCCCTTCGCTCCAGCTCCAGCTGCTCGGCCTGGGCTTGCTGGTACCTGTTCTCGCAGTTGACGTGGTGCCTCCTGCAGCCCTCGATGCGCTGCCTCAGCCTCTCCACCACGGTGCTGTGCTTGGGAACGCCGCTGCTCCCGTTAGTGCCGCCGCCGCCGCCGCCGCTATGAGTAGCGCTGTTACCGGGAGGAGGGCCGTGGGGAGCGTTGTTCACGCCGATCCCGGCCCCGCCGAGGCTGCTGCTCAGGTTATTGTTGAGGCAAAGGCTGCCGCCGTTCGCGGCAGCGGCGGGGGTTGCAAAATCCCCCATCCTCTTCTCCGCGCACACTATTTTGGAAGAACTTTTCCCCCCTTTGAGAAGCGGGCGCCACACGCCAGGCACAAACACGGGGGTCCTCCGGGGGAAGATACTCTTTAACGGACCATGGGGGAGGGAGGCAGCAGATCCCCAGCGAAATGTTTTGGGGTTGTTTGGTTTAAAACAAAATACCCCCCGACAATTTTTAAAAGCCTCTCTCCCTTCCTTGTCGATCCTCTCCGGCAGGAAGAAAGCTTTCCCCCGCCCGCCCGCCCCCCACAAAAAAGAAAGAAATTGCCTAAAGAAAATGTTAAAAGCCGAGACCCAGGAGGCGGTGCTGCGAGGTTATCAGCAGACACAATCAACAAACACAGGAGGAATCCCAACAAACTGATCGGTAGCTTGTTCGGTGGCAAACTCCAGGGAAGGAAGATCAGATCAGTCCACCTTTGAAATAATCCATCATTTCCAAAACAAATCCCGGACCGAAAACCTCCTTGGTCTCCCCCATGTATGAAAACGGAGGAAGAGAGAGACACGCACCCACATGCGTGCAAAACAGGCAGGAATCTCTCTCCACGCTCCACACTTCTACACACACACAACACACACTCGCACAAGACACCTACGGACATACACACCGGGCAGACAACGCGCACACAGGCACCCCAACATCGCACCCCGCGCCACCGGGCGGCAGGCAGCGCCGCTCTCTTAATTGTGTTTTCTCTCTCCCGGGGAATAGGGGGAAAGAAAAAAAAAGTTTGGGTGTTTATGCCGCACCGTGTTCTCAAAAGTACTTTGGCTGCTCAGTTGTATTTTTCAACAGGAACCTAAAAGGGAAAAGAAAAAAGAAAAAAACACAGCAAAAGCAAATCCTCCAGCTGGGGGGAAGTCAACACGTGAACAATCCGGGGCGATCTGCAAAAGTAGCTCGCTGAAGTATTTGCAGAACGTACGCCGAGCTGCTACACACGCAGACTGCTCTGCTCTGCTTGCTGCTTCTCCTCCTGCCACCATCACAATGATCAAGTGCTGTCCTCCTCCACCTCCTCCTCCTCCTCCATGCCAGCGGAGTGATACCAGGACAAGAACGCTCAATAAACAGAGCAGCAGCAGCAGCCGCCGCTCCAGCTCCTCCAGGCCGTGAGGCAGACCCGGGGACAAGGTGCAAAATCCGGCCCGGACCTTTCGCCGGCAGGAACGGACACGGCGATTCCCCGCCTAATTCCCCCTCCGGCTCCTAGCCACGCTGCTTGTTACCTTGGGCGGAAAATCAGGGACTGCCAGGACCGAGCGAGAGCGATCCGAGGGGGAAGCTGGAGAGGCAGGCAGTCAACTTTTGACCTGGTCGCGTGGTGCGTGTGTGCGTGTGTGTGTGTGTGTGTGTGTGTGTAATACGCCTGCCCTGTGTGTCCGGTTTCCTTTTTCGGCGCGAGCTGAAGCTCTGTATCATGCTGGCCTAAATTGTTACATATTGCATGGTATATAGAACCTGTGCATGATGATGACCACAGCAAGGGAACGGCAGCTTCCTAACTCTCCTTGCCTGACGTTTACCACGTGGAAAAGTCAAGGGGAAGAAAAGAGGCTGGTGTTAGAATTAACCCTGATACGCCTCCCTCTACCCTCAATTCAAATATCCGAGGGGTGGTTTTTTTTGGGGGGGGTGCGGGAGAAGCACAGTCCTTGACTCATTCACTGGAGAGTAAATCTCATTAATTTGTTTCCGACTAAACTTATTTACAAGTTGCATTTAAAACAATCCCAGCCCTGGATAGAATGTAGGTGCCGGACACAGTATCGTCTACTGAGTTACACAAACTTGCTATTATTGTTACATCGATAGGCATACCATATACTGTGTGTGTATACAGACAGACAGACAGACAGACACACACACACACACACACACACACACACACACACACACACCATTTCTGGCCACAGAACACTTTTGTGAAGTAGGTTAAGTTCACCTATCGCAGTGCTACAATTCCCAGCACCCTTAACAAACTATAGTTCCCATGGTTCTTTGCAAGGGGAGGTGTGTGTTAAATGAATAGTGTGGACACAGCCATAGAGTGACAAGCCCAAGGTACTTTACTGCCTTGTAACACCTTTAAAAAGGGAGAGAGCAAGAGTGAGATCCATCCATTATGCAAGGGAACCTACAATCTAAATCAGAGCAAAGAGGGAATTAAAGTGCTCCTTAATCTCTCAAGAACGACCATAGGTAACAAACAAAGTGCATGAAGTTGGGTGGTGTTTGACTGTTCACTGGTTGGACTGCTAATTAAAAGTAGTTAAGAAAAACTGGTGCACTGTTCGCTTTATCTACTTGGTGCTGACTGAAGAAGTACCCGGTGCTGCACAGCTCTTTAGGAGGCAAAACACAAAATATGTCTCTCATTCACCTTTTCCACTCGTATTGGCTACTTAAAAGACTGCAAAATGAGAATGATTCAAACAAGGGCTGATGGGCAGCATCCAAAAACAGGCCAGAACTTTCTACAGTGGTACCTCACAAGACGAATGCCTCGCAAGACAAAAAACTGGCTAGACGAAAGGTTTTTCCGTTTTCGATTTGCCTCGCAAGACAAATTTCCCCTATGGGCTTGCTTCGCAAGACGAAAACGTCTCACGACTTTGTTTTCTTTGTCTAAAAACAAAGACATGTTTTGTTTATAAAGTTAATTTATTTTCCCTTCAATTTTTGAACTGCTCTTTACAGTATGTGTGACTTTAAAGAGCAGTTAATAAACTGTTGTTGTACCAAATTTGGCTTTGTTTGGACTTTTTTTGACCATAGGAACGCATTAATTGATTTTCAATGCATTCCTATGGGATTTCGTGCTTCGCAAGACGAAAAATTCGCTAGACGACAAAAATTGCGGAACGAATTAATTTCGTCTTGCGGGGCACCACTGTATTTTTAACAAGAAAACAATGTGAGGCTCAACATTTTTTCCAAGAGAATAGTGGGTATTTCCATGCAGAGCTGCTGAGAATTGCCATGATGAAAATAACTGAGGAAGCAGGGTATTTAGCCCACACATTCAAGTGCAACATGATAGCATTGCACCCAATAGTAGTTGCAATCCAGGGGAGGGTTTCAGGTGCCTTAAGGCTGTCATCTTAAACAGGCACTAGGGAAAGATTCTTACTGAACTCTGTGGCACTTACTTATGAGTAGACATGCTTTGGCTCCAGCACACCATCTGCTTAACCCTGTAGTGATCAAAAAAAGTTGGACTACACCAGAGTAAGATGTAGAAATATATTTTTTCTGTTACCTAATAATCCAAATTGTATTGATTAATTATTTTTTTAAAAAGAAAGGTGGGATATAGATATTATAATATTAGGCTGCTAACAAGAATTATTTGTATGTGTATGCATGCACATTAGGAAATACAATAAAAATTGAAACCCACATGCAAAAACACAGCCTAGGGAGTGCATTCCAACTGTAGGGTTAGCCAATCCCCAAAAGTCCTTCTAAACATGCTTGTTTTCAACAGACAGTAAAAACTAGACAGTGATGTAAACGAAGCAGGCCTCCCTAGGCTAGAAGTGAGCCGCCACTGAAAAGGCCCTGCCTCATATTCATTGTTGGGGGGGAGGGGTATGGTATGGAGCAAGACTTAAAATATTGATCTGAGTGTGCTGGGTGAGAGAATACTTAGTGGATCCCATGTGGCATGGTGGTTAGAGGATCAAACTAGGCCTAGGGAAACCTAGGTGCAAATCCCTGCAAATGTCTCTCTTGGTTGTTGTGAGGATTAAATAGGGCAAAATATGTATGACATCCTGAGCTCCTCGGAAGACAGAGAGGAAATAAATGTGGAAGGAAAGTCATTTTTTTTTAATTAAATTTTTATTGAAGTTTTAACAACACCAAACAAACTGAGAAAAAAGAAAAAAAGAAGAAAAATGACATACAAATACAAAAAAATAAAACACGTATAACTTCAATTTTTACTTTCTTTTAGCTTATTTTCACGACTTCCTCATACCTTCCCTTTCTGTATTCTAATTTCAAATTCAATTGCCAGCAAATCCTTACCCTACTTTTAAATTAGTTTTAATGACAATTATTTTCTTCAAATTATCCCTTACCGCTTTTAACCCCTTAATGACCAATCCAGCATTTTTCTAACCTTCATTAATTTTACAGTATTTTTTTAGATACTCTTTAAATTTCTTCCAGTCTTCCTGCGCCGTATCCCTTCCCTGGTCACGGATTCTGCTCGTCATTTCCGCCAGTCCCATATAGTCTATCACCTTCAGTTGCCATTCTTCCATGGTGGGTAGTTCTTGCGTCTTCCAGTACTTTGCGATGAGTATTCTTGCTGCTGTTGTAGCATACATGAAAAATGTTCTGTCCTTCTTTAACACCAATTGGCCGACAATGCCCAGGAGGAAGGCCTCTGGTTTCTTAGGGAAAGTGTACCTAAGTACCTTTTTCAATTCATTATAGATCATTTCCCAGAAGGCCTTGATCTTTGGGCACGTCCACCATAGGTGAAAGAATGTTCCTTCAATTTCTTTACATTTCCAACATTTATTATCGGGCAAGTGATAAATTTTTGCAAGCTTGACTGGGGTCATGTACCACCTGTATATCATTTTCATAATATTCTCTCTCAAGGCATTACATGCCGTAAGTTTCATACCTGTGGTCCACAACCTTTCCCAGTCAGCAAACAAAATATTATGACCAATGTCCTGTGCCCACTTAATCATTGCAGACTTAACCACCTCATCTTGTGTATTCCATTCCAACAGCAAGCTATACATTCTTGACAAATTCTTAGTACTGGGTTCTAACAATTCAGTCTCTAATTTTGATTTTTCCACCTGGAAGCCAATTTTTCTATCTGTTTTAAACACTTCCATTATTTGGTGATAATGAAGCCAATCTCTCACTTTCCCTTTTAGTTTTTCAAAACTTTGCAGTTTCCATCTGTCCCCTTCTTGTTCCAAAATTTCTCCATATCTTGGCCATTTGGCCTCCATATTAAGTTTTTTAGTGGCCTTTGCCTCCATTGGTGACAACCACCTTGGAGTTTTACTTTCCAACAAATCTTTATATCTAAACCAGACATTATATAGTGCTTTCCTGACAATGTGGTTTTTAAACCCTTTATGAGCTTTGACCTTGTCGTACCAAAGATATGCATGCCACCCAAACATATTGTTATACCCTTCCAAATCCAAAATGTCAGTGTTCTCAAGAAGCAG